ACCCCCCCACCCTAACCTTCCCTTATATTGTAAAGCCATTTTGAGTCCTTGAAAAGCCCTATACAAATATAATGTATTATTATTATAATTATACTGACAGGTATCAGATCTGGCTGTGTAAAATAATCTCCCTGAGAGGTTTCCCTTGTGATGTAGTCTGTGTGTCCTACAGCTAATGTATTCCTGACAGCAACAGGTGATAAGAATCAAAGGTTCCCAGAGGATCCCATAGGAAATGCATGCAGGTCATTTTGACCCACTTATGGAAGCTTGGGATAGTAATACAAAAACTACAATTTCTTAAAATGTAAATTTTAAATATAAAAGGCATGATATCCAAAACATGTTTTTTGAAGAATAGCTGGAATATGAAATGATAAAACATTTTTAATTACAAAGATACTTCAAGAAAACCACCGGGTCAACAAAATGCCCACTTATGCATCTACATGTAAGGGTTAAATGAAATTCCTGAAAAGTATGATTTTTCATGCGATCTAACAGATATTTGCCCCAAATATTGCCATACTATATTCAAAGCCATTTCCTTGTCATTCTAAATATAGTCTTTGTGCATCAATGGGTTACATTTGATATAAAAGCCAGGTTCTTTATGTCACTTGATAACATTTTGCATCAGTGTCTTGCAACCTGATCATATCGTAAAGTGGAAATGAAAAATAAGCAGTCGTACCTCCAGCCATATTGAGAACTCTGTCCAATGCAGGATGGACCTCCTTATCCAGCTGATCGTGTATCCTTCCACCTAATAATGGACCTATATCTGTAGAGAACGCAGCATCAGATCAGCAGAAGAAAACAAACAAACAGTCCCTTTTGGTTATTAAGTTTATGTGTAACTTAAATGGCTGCTGTGCTATCACAAAAGTAGAGATGAATACTCGAGGGATCCTCTATAACAGGCACTGCTTTTGGTTTCTACACCTTGTTATATCATAAATCTGTTAGGAAAACAATTCAAGGACGGTGAATTCGGATAATAAGCATGATATATGACCGAGAGCAAGAACTCAGTGAATCGTTTCTGTCCTCTTAATTTACCGTCAGAGGCGCAGAGGAGGTCTACTTACTATCTAGGTCATAGATGACTTTGTTCTTGGCTGTGGCGTATTGGGATATTAGGTAATCAATTTGCTGCAAACAGGAAAACACAAGAGAGCAGAGCAGAGTGTTACAAATGGAAATAAATGAAAATTAGGTTATTAGTTTCGTCATAGACGGCAAGAGACACTCCGAAGCATAGCACAGTTTCATCTTCAGTCAGAATGAAATGGAGAAAATGACCTAAAATACAAAAGGACAATCACAACAATACAAACAGTTCCAATGTAACACCTATAAGTAAAGTAAATGTCAAAGCATGAGCTCCTGATATTGAATGGAATAAGAATTATGTTTTGAAAATGACAATTAGTAGCGGTAATGAAAAGATAACAGAGCCAATGTAGTCTGACACAACTCTGACAGCCTTTTCTTATTTCAGTGCATTGCTAAATGTTTTGCTTTCATTCGACCATCCCAAGTTATTTTACTAGCTAAAATGTCCATTAGTAGTGGCTTATTCTCACACCAACCATCTCCTGTCTGATCCATGGTTCTGTTTAATGTATTTTATTGTAATTTAACATGGTTTAATAGTGCGTTGGCGCTATACTGTAGGACACAAAGCAAAGAGAAAATCCAACCGTATCTTCTCCAGAATACCACTTTACATTACTGTCTCACCATTGGCGTGTCATTAACGAAGGTGTGCAGGTCCCTCATGTTGCTGTTCACCAATCTCCGGATGTTCTTCACCTGAGAGCTCAGGTTCTGGTTGGCAGCGTAGGCACACAGCACTCCGATCCTAAACAAAACCACAAACACAAACACAGTGACCTTTCCTGTCTCCATTAACCACTGAGTGACCCTGCTGCTCCCACTTGAATCACCACAGTGAGCCATGGGGTGGGTTTTACAGAACAGGGTGATAACATGTGATCAACAGTAGGGGTCAGTGTGCACTACCATTTACATTTTCTTTCAAAACTTCCACCTGAATGCACCTGTGGAATGAGCCTAATGTCCTTGACAGCCAGATTTTGTAATCACGGTAATATGCAATTACCAACACATAGATAAAATGTGTCCAATCCAAAATGAATCCAATTTAAAAAGGTCATAAATGTGTCTTTTTCAAAATGATACTTAGCAATCATGCATAATGCCTAAGAGCACACAATGATAATGATGCCTTCTATTATTAACCTCCAGTACGAGATGGGTTGGTTGTAATTTCTGCATTTTCAATATAATCGATACATTTCAGGACGATATTTTGAGGAAATTAACTCAGATGGAAATGTGTGTACATCTACAATAAGCGCTGAAGCCCTATCTATATATCTGAGGAGCCTGGGTTGTAAACATATTCAAATGTAATGTAAGTACACAGAATTGCACAAAGCACACCATTAAAGTGAGTGTCTTGTGTACTTCAAACAGACCCGAGTAGCTCGGTACAAGGCTTAATTAGCTTGAGCAACATCAAGAGAAAGGCATCCCATAATATTAAGCCGTTTCTATGGCTCATCCCAGCTGAATTATTTTGCCTCAGCATATCCCAGCTAGCACTATATATCTGTTTTATTACTGCATGTAAGCATGGATGGGCTCTAAGGGTTGATTAACTTCTGAACAGATGGTCAAAAAAAACTTCTGTACGATGGATGGTGAAGCAACACTCTGACATTGCGGTTGTATAACATAGTGAATTTCATTTATAGCAACGCTTCAGTGGAATAAGCCGCTTTATGAATGATGTGAGATGACTCGCAGAAAGGAATAACAAGAGGACTGACTCAGAGGATACTGAACAGGTTTAGATGAATGGAGATGAATCGGGCTGTTGTGACTCACTGTATAAGAAGGCCGAGGTCTCTGCATGTGGGCCTGTTTATCTGTGCTTCTGTGGAGGCATGCACAACAGCCTGTGTGTGTGTGTGTGTGTGTGTGTGTGTGTGTGTGTGTGTGTGTGTGTGTGTGTGTGTGTGTGTGTGTGTGTGTGTGTGTGTGTGTGTGTGTGTGTGTCTACTGTGGGAGTCTCTCTTTGTGGATGTAACCCTTTTAATCCAAACCTGCAATATACTGCAGACACTTTTTCACAATGCGTTTTCATACACCGCATGTGCAAAGTATTACCTTTGTTTCAATGGAGCATATTGATGATGGAACACGAGATCAGAGTCGATATTAAATACCCAATCACATAGTTAGCAGTAATCAATCATGCAGTAGATTTGAGTATTATAGGGCTGATAATCCTTCTGCAGATTTTTGCTTTTATTCAAAATGTCGATAATAAAATAGTGACGTTTTTCAGGTTCGGTGATCATAATACTTTTGAATTAATTTAATATCCAAGCAGGTTAAGATAATTATTTTACAATTATATAAAACAGCTCTAACAATAAAATGTAGGCTTGATAAATAACAGTTATTACTGATCTTGTTGCACACTAAACTGAAATGTCAACCAACACTTTTCAGTTAATACTCGCACAGCATAGAAATCAATAAGCCACTTGCCGGAGTTGGTTAATCAATCAACGCTAATTAGTCTTAGTTAACAATTAGAAGGGCACTCAGGGAGAACAGACAAGGCTACATCCTATCTCCCGATGTTAATGGAAGTGAAAATTAATTTGTGAATCAGATTCTTATCTGCTCCAAATTGTAATGGGTTCTTCCTTGGCTTATGCTACACCCTTTTAACAAAGTTTCTTGAAGATCAGACCTTTTTTTCTTTTGTAAACTTATTACAAACAAGAAAGAAGACACTTCCTTATCCATCCCTGTAAAATAATCTTACATTTTTGTCCTTTTTGACAATTTATTAGATCTGAGAAATGGCTGCAGTGGTTCTCAAACTTTTTTTCAATAATGTACCCCCTTTGAAAAAAAATTCAGCCAAGTACCCCCTGATCAGCGCAAAAACAATTTGTTAGGGAAAAATGCCTATATACAGTAAAGAGGTACATTAAAGTGCTGCATCATCGGTGTCTGATTTATTAAAACAACAACCTTAACTGAGAAACACTTAAATGCTACCTTTCAAATGTTTACAATCCATCACTAAATTCATGGCAAACCAAATTCAACATAATGCAATAACACTAAGACGACATTAGTTGCATTGAACTGATCTTTTTAATAAGTTGTACCGTCATTTTCGGACTATAAACCGCGCCTTTTCCCCTATTTTTCGACGCTGCGGCTTATATAACGGTGCGGCTAATCTATGGATTTTTACAGCTAACGGCCAACACCTTTAACTCTATGGGCTCTATGGCCGGTCCGCGGACCCCCACCTTTAAGCGGCGGGTTCCAGCAGGAAAAGCTGGAGGCCGGAAAAGAGTGAGACGGGTAGCGCGCAAAAGTAAAAGTGGAACCGAGAGTGGTATGCCGCTGCTGAGGCTTATATTCAGGTGCGCCTTATAGTCCGAAAATTACGGTACTTACAATTTAGTGAGAAACATGGGCTTGTGCTTCACTGAGGATCTTTGTCATTCTGACAGGGAGGCAAACTGCAGTCATTACACTCTGTTTGAGAACCACTGCAGTAGAGCATTGTCGCGTAATATTCTCTGACAGTCAAATGAGACATTGTGAATTAGTTTCTTCTTCTCTTTCATTAAATTGGTAGCTGTTTCGGCAGCTGAGTCACAACCTGAATGTCAGAGGGTCTTATCTTGTTAAAAAAATGGTTGGCACGTATTTAAATTGTATTTAACAGGCTTAAACACGCATTAGCACAAAGAACAAATGTTACAGGATCGTGAGAAACTCTTTTCAACAGCGTGGCATCAAGCTGCGCCTCGTCTCCAGGAACCCCGTAATGATGTTTGCCATAAATAGTGAGCGGGCCGACACAGAGTAAACGCTGTCGTCGTGTAAATGGAGACTAAATGAGAAACTAGGCCAAACAACTAGGCTGGGACACAGTGAAGTGGAGCCATCCGGAACCAGGAGAAGATTCAAAATGGCCACTTTCAAAACAAAAGCCTTTTGTCAGACACTTCTCTGCCCTCCTTCTGTCTCTCTCTCATACACAAGTCCACACTTTCATAACCCTTCTCTTTCATTCATAAATCACACACACCTTCTGTCTCACTTTCCGTCCGTGTCTGTCTGTATCTTTATCGCTAAATGCTCTACTTTCCTCTCTGTTTCTCCAGCTCTTTCTCATTTGTCTTTCTGCTCCGGCTCGTCTGTTTTCATCCACGTCTCTTCCACTAAACCTCTTTTTCTCATTTTCTCTTGCTCAAGACTTGTTTTGTACCCCTCTCTGATTATTTTACCTCTCATGCTTTCTTATTTTCCTTTAACACACCCTCTCTTCTCTTCCTCTTTTGCCCTCTCTTTTCCCTCTCTTCCTATATCAACCTCCCTCTCTTTTGCTTTGTCTTTCGCTCCCTCCCTCTCCCTGCCTGTGTCCAGCAAGGTCACTGGAATCCGCAGGCAAACAAAGACTCATTGAGAACGACGCCAAGCACTTTCCAATGAGCTGTGTAGTACACGGCTGTCCGCCTCACTTCAGCAAAATTGAGTTTGGATTTGTCTGAGTGTGGCAGAAGAGTTTGAGAAGTGGTGAAATGAAATCGGGAGTTAAGACAGAATGAAACACATTTGTGTCTCATCACAAATTGATCAAACAAACTCGGGATGACAGGCAGGGAACGCCAGAGTGATAGAAAATAGTCGAGCGCCGCTTTTGAGTGAATTTATGTTAGAAAACCCATTTCTCACTGATTCCTACAACGGATGTGTAAAGAATACAGGAAACATGTCCGACTGTTTGATTACAGACGCACTCTCCCTGCTGTTCTCACCTTCATTTCACCTTTAATGATGTATTTTATATCACATATTAAATAGGGCTGCTCGATTATGGCAAAAATCATAATCTCGATTATTTGGGTCAATAATTGATATCACGATTATTAAAAACGATTATCCATTTACTTTGAAAACATAAATTCATAAAAAATAAAAAAAAGTGAACAGCATGTTTTCAACAGTTGATTACAGTGGTGCAAATTAGTCGCTTTTCGGCACCTCCCGCTTTTTTAACGCTGATTTGGGTGACTTATGTAATTCGTGGAGAACCGAAGAGTAAAAAATCTTCCCGGGGGGAGCATGCCCCCGGACCTCCCTAGAGGAAGTTAGCTTTTCCCCCCCCCACACACTTAAATCATGTTCACATGGATAGGAAACTAAATACATTTGCACACCTCTTGTGTCCATATCTTTCTGTTTTGGTGGTCATGCCACAACCATGCACGTGAATGCATACGCCAGTCATGGTGAGATCTCTGGATTAAAAGGTTGCTTTTTCTTTGCACAGCATGAAAGAAAGGCAAAATGAATGGGCTGTGATTTTAGTTTTTTTAAGCAGAGGTTGAGTTCAATCATTTGTACGGCCCTCGGAGGATGTTGTAAAAATTGAAAGGAAAAAGGTTCCCCACCCCTGCTGTAAATAATAATAAAACCCTTGATTTATAACTTAACATCTCTGTCTCCTATTGATCTGAGTATATTACAAAGAACAGCCAGTTAATTGAAGCATTATAGCACAGGCCTTTGTCAGATGGTATATTACGCTGTTTTTTTCCTGCTTCGAATAGTTCTCTCTTTTTTCACCATACCTGTGTTTGCATCCCTGTGATTACCCTGAACTTTAAGTATAGTTATTGGCAAGAAAATCTACAAGAGATTGTACAGTGCAATCAGAGAGATACAGTATGTCCACGTTTTTGAGCAAGTCCACGAATCCAGTCTTTGTCAAGTCTGTCACCACCTTCGCGCAGCTGCTTCGAATAGTTCTCTCTTTTTTCACCATACCTGTGTTTGCATCCCTGTGATTATCCTGAACTTGAACTATAATTCAACTGAAAAACCAATACAAAATAAATAAATAAAATAACTAATCGTTTTATTTCGATTATGTTGTTTTCATAATCGTTGCAAGCCAAAATCGTAATTGCGTTTCAAATACGATTAATTGAGCAGCCCTAATATTAAAGAGAAATGTCCATTCAGTTAAATAGCTTTTATTATTAAGCAATTCTATACATCTAACTTGAATAGGAGTGAAAGGATTACACTGCATTACAAAACGTCTTTTCCTAAACTAAACTTGAGCTGTGTGACTGTCAGAATACTAAAACGTTAGTGTACTTTTGATGTATTTAACCATGCTTGTTTCCAACATGTTGAATAGTAATGTTCTGGTAGACGGTGGCTTTTTTAAAAACCCACATAACAGCACAGCTCCTCACTTTGTGAAACTGAGTTTTGTCGTGCCGCTTCACCACATGTCTTTGTTGACAGCAACTCGTAAACTGACCCTCCAGCTCAAACTGTGGGCACTGAGTGCACCGCCGTATGGCTGCCTGTTGATAATGTGCCTCTTATTGACCACAGGGGACAATTCAAAACGCAGCGGGACGAAGATTTACTTCTAGCTACTCAGTAAAAAGGGCTGTAATTCCTGGTTGAGCGAAAGTCAAATGACACATGAAACTGTGCCTTAGGGTGTAAGCCCCACAACAACAGATGAAGAAGAAGAAGAGCAGTCAAACTAGTGCACTGCCCCAGTATGTAGGCCACTACTGGGGGCTGGGCAGTGAGTGTTACATGGTCTGGTGGCTCCATAGCTTTTACAAACTCCAACAATGCCCTGCATTCAGCCTGAATGTAGTTGCTCGGCTTGGACAGTTGCCCTACAGTCCCTCGCTGCTTTCACACTGCTGGAACTGTTTACTCTCATTATCCTATCACTCAAGCAGCACATGAAAGATGTCGTTATTGTTCAAACTAAAGTAAATAATGTATCTATTGCTGTTTATTTTTATTTGAAGTGCAAAACTAGGTGCTGTGCAGGAATGCCTTTTTCCTGCAATGCCATAACAACATTACATTCACATTAAGCATTTGTGTGCCAGCCTGACCTCAGTGACCTGTATTCAAAAGCTTGTGAGCTGAAAACTCATCTCTTTCGACTCCACTTCGAGCGATAGAATTACTAACAAAGCACTTATATACTAATAAAGGACTGGCTTATCTAAAGCTAGTTGAGTAGCACTTGAAATGTTTTAGCTCTATGAAACCTGATGTACTTATATGATTCTGTTTTCTTCAAGTTTGTTTCTTGTTGGTCGAACGTACTTATTGTAAGTCTCTTTGGATAAACGCTTCAGCTAAATGCAATGTAATGTAATGTAACACATATGTGATAACCTATCAGGTTGTTTAGTATGTGAATAGGGTATTGAATCAGATTATTCCAGAACCAACTATAACTACAAATTTGAGAGTAGGGCTGCACTAATGTATTCGGACATATTTAAACTTCCACGCAGTTTCCTAAAGACATCAAACGTGTTATTATATAATAATTGTGTTTCTCAGGAGCAGACCAGTGGCAATCACACACGTATTATTGTGTAAATAAAACGTCATAGCAGCAGCTAGTAGCAACTATTTTTATATTGTAATTTAAACAGTCTTTCATTCACTCTATACTCCCATCAAATGCCACGAGTCTCTTTTAAGTTCAATTTCATCACAGTTACAGTATACCTCTGGTTAGCTTGTTTGTCTTCCACCTAATAGTGTTTTCTCCTCGACTAGCCATTGTTATATCCCTTTTATAGCGTCTCTGTTTTGCACTCATTTCTCAGAGCCAGGCCACAGTCTGAACTCGGCTCTGAGCAGCACGGTGTCCCATAAAGAATTTAAACAGACACTCAGTAGTTTTGACTTTGGGGCTTTTGCTCTAGGCATGAAAACCCAGTAAAGATAACAGTACTGTTTTGCTCAGTTTTCCTAAGTTTCTGTCTAAAACCTGGCAGCAGTGGTCTGATGGGAGAAAACAGAACATTAATTCCACTCTAAACAGTCCAGGAATGATATGAATACTAAACTCTGAACCAAACAGCCTGTCTGGCTCAGAGTCGTGCAAACAGCCACAGACGGTCACTTTAATCCAGTAGTATCTTAAAAAGCTCCTCTAAAGTTCATATTGTTTCATGATTAAACTTTAAAACATGCAGTCAGAGGAAGTGTTGCAATTGATTTAACAGCTGGAACAATGTAATGCAATGTCTAAACAAGATTAGACACTTTTTCTTTTCAAGCAGAAAACTATTTCTGTGTGTCACCTCACAGATCTTCTCCAGTGGGACTCAGATGAGGGTGTTGCACTTCCCCTTGTACATGTGATGTTTTGGTGTTGTTGTTTTGTTTATTTCCGTTAACTGTCAAGTGGGAACTAAATATTTTTTTGTTTTACGTTTTTGTGTTTCTCTTATTATCCTACGAAACTGTTATGTTTGGCTGTGAATAAGAAATATGAAGGACACACCATATATTTCTATTTTTTTTTTTTTTAGAAAGGGGCAGGTAATATGAGATTATTTTCTTCTCCCTACTTCTTTTTGGTCAACGGTGTGTTCACAGAGACACTAAACAGATTTGTAAACAATTATTATACATTAAGTTGTGCATACCATGAACGTAACAAATGCAAATGGAATAAACTCTGCATGCACTTGCAGCCTTCCTCTTTATAGCCTGAGACACATCTCTGCAGATCCCCTCACAGTCCGCCTCTTTCATATAAATGTCAAGGATTTGCAATTTGTCTGTGGTGACTCTGTTATTCAACTCATTAATTGGAGTTCAGCCTCTCTGCGCCCCCTTTTTAAACTGCGGTTTTCCAGTTTTGTAACTTCTGGGTTCAAGCGAGTATGTGAGCCCCTGAGCAAGAAACTTGTCTGTATAGATTTCTTAGGGAGAGAGACAGGGATTACTTTGAGGATATCAACAACAGATTTGTTCTGCTCAGGTAAACCATCCCTGGATTGATTGAGGTTATGAACATAATTAACCTTTCAAGCAAATATTAACCGTGGGATTTAAAATTAAATGTCAGCTGTCCAAAACAAAACAACTTGTCAAGGAATAGCTGTTGAAGCAATGTAACTTCATAACAACTTCTTGCACTCTATTAAGCCTCGACTTATCAAACATGTTTTTATTGAATCAGCTTTAAATTTGCATTTAACTAAGAAGCTCTCGGTCTTTTAATACACGAAGGAGGACTGTTTGTGAGGGAACCTGACGTTCTGTAAAGTCAGACTCGCTGAATCTCAGTGATTGGTTTTAATGGTTCGGTCTATTTCCCATCAGTTGGCTCAGCGCGGAGCAAACACGGCCGGAGGCATGCAACTCACGACTATGCACAGAGAGAACGAAATGATGGGTACGAATTCATCCCTCATAAATCATTCAAAAGCGGTCTGACTTTCCTTACAAACCCTTCTCAATCCCTCTCTCAAAATGTTATGTTGTTTTTTTTCAATTTCCCGATTTTAGGATTGTTAAGGTCAGGACAAGGTGCCAAATCCTAAACACAAATACAAAACATAGCTACGAAAATGGCGGACACAGCAGGGAGAAATTGCAAATATAGCAAGGCAAAACTGCTGCAACCACCAACCTCATTCCAACTTTTACATTTAAAGAATACGAAAAGCGTGCCAGTTTTGTGTGGGAAGAAACGTATGCATGGTTTTAATGCAGACACCATGTTTGTACATCAGGCCCATAGTCACAGATTTTGTCCTCACTGATTCCACAGCTATTCGTATAATGATTGCAATCAATGCGATCCAAGGAGGTGTGTTGAGTTTTGTTCATTGCATATAGTATGTTTATCACAAGGTCAATGTGGAGTTTGCACAGTTACTGTAGGAAAAGATACACAGATATGGGATTATACAGACCTGAAGACTAAAACATGTATGGTGATAACGATCAGTAATCTGTCTTTCAAAGTCCTGTCAAACTCGCCGTTTTAAGAGAGCTGTAAAGTCCAATATGCATTCTCTCAAGAAACATGTCCACGTCACTTTAGTTTCCAAATCATTTGTAAATGCCACTACCCAATATTGTGCACCTTGTTCCATTTGAGTATGGTTGAAATCGAATGAACTCTAGGTGTGACTTCATCCTGTGATGTTGACCTTCGGCTGCCTGCCCATTTTTCATTTCACTGTACAATGCATTTAGGCAGTACGTTTTTATCATCAAATATCAAGAGCACCAATACCTATTACCTCTGTAAAGGAGTTTTCTTTCGTTAGTTTGCTCTGCTTGTTAGTAGGATTACAAAGAATCTACAGGCCTGATTTTCATGACACTTGGTGGAGGGGTGTAGCATGAGCCAAGGAAGAAACCAGAACCTTTTTGTAGCATTTCCCCATCAGGGGGAATTTACATTACGAGTTCCCTTCTTGTTTTATTAGATGCATAATTTTAATGAATTGTTGTGTGTCATTATCTGCACAATTTGATTCTTTCACACACATACTGTAATTCAATGTCATGGAGAAGTTGATTGATCTTCTATAATGAAAAAGTGTCACTTTAAAAGTCTAAATGAGTATCTACTTGATGAAGATTGTGAAAAAGTGGAGTCATTCCTTGTTTCTGAGAATCATAAGGATAATTTATTTTGTCTGGACATATAGTACTTTACTAATATAGAAAGACAATCACCAGAGATCCTAAAGACGAGTGAACAAGGAGAGGCGTGTGGCGCAGTGGGTTGTGCGTTGGTGTTCGGATCGGGGGGGTCACAGGTTCAAACCCCACTGCAGTCAGCATGTCGTTGTGTCCCTGAGACACTTCACCCCAAATTGCTCCTGTGGGGATTGCCCACTGTATTGAGTCGCTTTGGATAGGAGCAATTTGGGGTGAAGTGTCTCAGGGACACAACGACATGCTGACTGCAGTGGGGTTTGAACNACTTTTTTACGTTTTTACATTACATGTTAGACGCTTTTATCCAAAGTGACTTACATACTCAATACTGTGGGCAATCCCCACAGGAGCAATTTGGGGTGAAGTGTCTCAGGGACACAACGACATGCTGACTGCAGTGGGGTTTGAACCTGTGACCCCCCCGATCCGAACATCAACGCACAACCCACTGCGCCATACGCCTCTCCTTGTTCACTCGTCCTTAGGATCTCTGTATAGTACTTTACTAATATAGAAAGACAATCACCAGAGATCCTAAGGACGAGTGAACAAGGAGAGGCGTATGGCGCAGTGGGTTGTGCGTTGATGTTCGGATCGGGGGGGTCACAGGTTCAAACCCCACTGCANATAGTCTTAAAGTTACAACTGGCCCTTTGAGTGCAACCGTAATGCTGATGTGGCCCGTGATGAATTTGAGTTTGACACCCCTGCCCTAGAGGGAACGGTTAATCCTTTAATTACTATGCCATGTTATAACATCAAAGCTGTATGCCAAACAAATGTGAAACAAAACAGTTTGAACACACAGTTTAGAAACATATTATCAGTAGGAAACTCAAAGTGACGTGTGTTAGCATCACAGATGACATGCCACCCACGAACTGCCATTTAGACACAAGTTTAGAGTGAGGTGAATTGGAATTGTTATAATGATATCAGCAACGATGCAGCAGTAATGGATGCAGGCTTGTCATGGTTATGTTTGGTCTGGTGAATCCAGCAGTAGTGAACCTAAATAACCCAACTTTCCCAAAACATTGGGCATATAAGTGAACATCAGCATCCATATTAATCAATGTGGACTCCTCTTAAGTAGCTCAAAGGTTTTATTCCACACTGTCTGACAGCATATCTTTCGACCGGCTTGTTGCAGTTGTTTGTTTCATGGCTGCCCTTTTCCATTAAATGGGGAATTCTACATGTCTTGTGCATCAATAACACACATTTATATACATTTGATTAAAAGTAACCTTGATATATGTATTGTCTTTGGAGAAAATGGATGTCCATAGGGTTGAACAATGCTTGTTTGCAATGAAATCCAAGTATAACTTTATATAATCTACAACCCTCTCACCTGCAAAGCTACATTCCCATAAAACTGCAGTTTCATTTCAATAAAACTAAACTGAAGTTTCATTGCATCCAGATATATTTTGTCCCAGATTATGTTCCCAGACTAAAACATGTGGTTGACGTTAACTCAACAAAACGACCTGGTTAGGTTCTGTATAAAATCATTGTTTGGCTTAAAATAAGTATTTTTTTTGCTAAAGCCCGCGTCACACTGTCCCGAAATTGACACCAGATGGACACACGATAAAGGAAATGTTCATATTCGGCCATTCGTGAGGGCATCTTAAGCCATCGTATGACCGCCGGTGGAGTTTCTCAGGCTCCGGCAGTAACTTCGTGAGCGGTGGCAAAATCTTTGGCATGCCAAAAAATTGCCGAAAGACCTTGCGAAGGTTCATTTTCGTGTTGAATTTGTGTGTCCATGTTGCCCTTCGTAAGGCCAGCGTGAGAGCATCTTGTCAAATCGTGTCATCTTCGTCTTTACTTCGTGTTATCATCGGTGCCATCGGGCATTTTTCGCCTCACGAAGACAATACGAAGGTAACAAGAAGCTGCCCGATTATCTTAGGAAGCCAACACGACTTCGTGAAGCCCTTGCAATGCCATCGTGTAGCCATCGTATTATAGTACGATGACATCGAGATTGCATTTATTGCACAACAAAATCATGTAAACATGTTATGTAAATAACCCAATTTGTGTTCTGTGAAACTGAAAAGGATATTACATTGC